GTTCAGGCAATAAAAAAACATATATGTTACGTTATGGTGAACAACGGTCAATCACTGGCCATTGTATAGGTAAAATGATTGATTGATCGGTTGAGTGATTTAGGACGGTGAATGGCGGAGAGCACAGTTGAACTGAATCAAACCGAACCGAACCCAGCCGGTCTTGACGGCTACTACATTCCTTGCACGATGACCTTAACGATAAGCGATGACGGATAGAAGATGACAGTGAATTACGATGACATGTCTTCTATAGATAAAGTCTTCATGCTGGTACGCCGGTTCGTCGACCGGTACACGTTGTCTGTTTGGGCACCTGAGCTCTACAGCTGCTGTGCCCCTTGCTCATCAGTGGTCAGCGTCCGTCTGACGGTTCAAACGTTGGTGGTGCGTCGTGTGCCGTTCGGCAGCAGTACGGTCACCAAGCATCGCATCGGGTTATCCGGGACGGGAGCCGACCGAGCGGCGCCGTCAACATCTGTAGGCACCGCCGACTCTTCGATGAGGGTCGAATGCCAGCGCCATAGGACCGGTCGACCGTCCTCCGGCCACCATCGCCTGCCGTCCGTTGTTGATACTTATCGTCCGTCGCGTTTCCCCTCCAGTTGTCCAGTTGTGTCACCGGAACGACGACTGCAGTGTGCCGCTCCTCCGACAGAGGGCACGACCTTCGCGCCTCCGTCCCACTCACGTCCGCCCTCGTGCAAACCGATCGACCACTTGGCGGAGAGGCGGCAGCGGAAACGCTTTTCGTACAGGTTCCGTCCGTCCGTCCGTCGTTGAGTTAAATGACAGCGGTAGGGAACGACGACGATGACGACTGACCGGACCGACCAGAACCGCCGAATGGAACTGAACAACCGACCCGACCATGTTGACCGTTGGTCATCGGGGTGCGCGCGCGGCCATACGATCCGATGCTTCTTCTGTGATCGGTGCTGAAGCATTTTTTTTTCAGGACGACGACAATGAAGGATTGGCGGTTCATGGTTTGATCTGCCATATCTTATCCGACGGATATTACCTTCAGCGACTTCCGGTGTCGGCTGACGACGTGCCTATCGAAAGCCCTCATCGAATCACGTATGAGAACATGCATCGTAGTCACCCCCTCGATTCGTCGTCGATCGTCAACTCGCACGATACTATGATTCTGCGACAACTCACCGTTATCCTGCTCCTCGTCCTTGCCTTGCGCAGGACATACACTCTGGATGTTAGTCACGTGACCACGACGACGATGACCACTGGTCCATCAGCTGACGGCTTAAAGCGGGACATGTAAGTAAACTATGAGTGTGAACCAATCCAATTCGCACT